GCCACTATTACTACATCAGAGCGCCTAGCTTTTCGGAGAAGGTCGGAAAGCTTTCTCTAAAACTCGTCTTTTACATCATCTGAGCTGCAGTCAGTGGGAGAATAGGCAGAGACGACGAAGAGGCAACGACGAGTGTCCCTATCTTTCCGGATCTTTACTGTTCCGTTGAGTCGGACCTTGCACAAACGACTGTCTACTAGGATCCAGTCTAAGAGAGCTAGTTCTGCCCTAGGACTCAATGCTATAACTACGCCGGCGAGGCCACGGGAAGCAGAATCAGGGCTTCCAGATACACGAAGCGTAAATCGAGTCGGTTCTTTATTTTGACATGGTAAGGTCAAATGAATGACGCTACTCGGATCCTGTATGCGCGTTTCGAAGACGCAGCACACATCGATGGCGCGAGATTCTAAATTTTTAGCTAAGGAAGCCTGCTGTCCTATTTGGCAAAGTGTTCGTACGTTAAAAGCTCCTACGTTTGGTTTAGAGCGTGGTTTCAGGAGACCAGGAATGGCGTTCCACGTACTCGAACCGTTTGCCCTAGCGGTGCGAGGTGATAAAGAGACGTGAGGAGGGTTAGTCGGGGAGATAAGAGAGGTATGAGGAGGTGTAGGAAGGATATGAATGTGACAAACTTGGTTCCGTGTGCTGTTACGGGTATGAGGGCTGGTGTCACTTCCTGGCTGCCCACACCATGGAAGGGTATTTCTTGAGGAACCGGAAAAGGAAATTGAATTAGTGTTGGTCTTGACGATCTGGGAGCGTGACGGCAGAGCTCAAGGGACAACTGCTTGAGGCCGGTCGCGCACAGCCTTTTCGTGGAAGGCTTTTAATGTGTTAGCTCCGTTCTTCAAAGGGTTTTACCGCCGGAGACGGAAATCTGTGAGGTGTGAGATTTTTAGGGTCGACCTTTTCTAACCCTTTCCTTCCTTGTGAAAGGCAGCATCGCTGCAGATGCTGGTTGTCCGAGGGAAACACCTTACTGCTGTCACATTTCTGTACAGTCAGCAGTACGACTTCGCCCTCAGACCTTGAGTTGCTGCTTTTAGTCTTACCGTTCTCCAATGGACTTGCCTGGCATGGTAGAACCTACAGGAACATATGTTCCAGCCAATATAGTTCTGTTGGGTCATCACGATAGGCAAGCCTGACCACCGCGTCAAGGTAGCAGCTTCGGTCGGGCTTTTCGTCCTAACTTCATCTTCATTGGACTTTTCAGGTGAAAAAGTAACTAGTAGTATATCTAACATTCATGAATGACCGAGACCAGGAGATATTCTTTCTTTATAAGCACGATTAAAAACATCGTGATTCTTCAACGCATGTGGTGCTGCTATCGGTTCTCCCTAGTGTTGAAAAAGTATGTAGTTCTCGTACGATATTTAACAGTTTCCATTCAATTTATTTCATCCCTATAAAAATTGACAAGACAAAGTTAAACATGTAACTTATGAAATTTTTATCAGAACTAGAATTATGGAAAGCAAGTTTACTTAGTTTAACGGCTACCTTGACGTGGTGGTTATAGTGACTGAAACAGTCGTACTGCTGACTGTACAACAGGTGTGTTAGCAGTAAGGTATTTCCCTCAGAAAACCAGCGTAACGGCAATACTGCCTTCCCAAAAGCTCGACCATAAAAATATACACTGCCTTATCTCACGGATATCCGTCTCCGACGGTAGCGTCTGGACTAGTACGGAGCTAACACAAAAAGGTCGTGTGACCGGCCTCAAGGAGTTGTCACTTAGGCACTGCGGTCATGCTCTCAAGTCGCTAAGATCAACCCTAACCCAATTTCCTGTCCAGGTATCTCTAGAGGAACCTTTCTACTGTGTGGGCAGCCGGGAAGTGATGATCGCCCTTATGCCTCTAACAGCACTCAAGACCAGTGTGTTCATAATCACTTTCATTCTCCGATTCCTATTATTTCTCCTACCTTGACTATCGACTCTAAAATTCCTCCTTCGAGTTCCTCCTCAAGTGTCACCGTGGCCAATGACTTTTGTGCGCGAAATACTCTCCCAAGTCTACTGAAACCTCTCTAAACTACTCTTTGGAGCCTTCAACGTACGTACCGTATGTCAAATCGGCCAGCAGGCCTCCTTAGCTGAAACCCCAGAATCTCGTACGATTAGCATATCCTGTGTCTTCAAAGCACGCATACAAGATCCTAGTGTGGTCATTCACTTAACCTCACTTCGCCAAAATGAGGAGCTGACGAGATATACCCTCAGTTTATCTGGCGACCTCATGGCAAGTTCTTGTGGACTGGCGGGTGTGGACATAGCACTAAGTACGAGGGCAGAACAAGCACTTTTAAGATGGACCCCGTGGTAACAATTGCGTATGTGTTGTTCGGCTGAACAGTCCAGTGAAGGCTACTTACTTAAACACTATCAGTTGAGTCAGAGCTTATGGCGAACTGTCATCTGATTTTTCAACCTCAAGTGATGTGCATCAAAGCTACCCACTATCTCCATTTTCGATCAATTTCATCATAAGCCTACTGCTGGAAATAACGTTCTCGTCGTCTGAATTTTCGGGAATCGATCTCCTAGCAAGTGGTCCACTTATTGACTTGGAATACACAGATGACGTAGTCCTGTTAAGCGAAAACTCTGATAAGATTCAGAGTCTTTTGGTAGCACTGAGCAACGATGCCAGAATATTTGGAATGCGCTTCTCTCCCTCTAAATGCAAGTTGTTGCTCCAGAACTGGCCTACGTCAACACCTGAACTAAGGATAGGGAGTGAAGTAGTCGAACGCGTCAACAACTTCACTTAGAAGTCTGATCAACCCAAATGGGTTGGTTTTTGACAAAGTATCTGCATGGCTTTTGCTAACTTTTGTCTCCTGTGGTGAAGGCGAGATATCCGTCTATCAATTAAAGGACGAATGTACTGTACGGCAGTCATATATGTGCCTGGTCCTACGTTGTAGTTGACTAACTGAATCACTAACTTTCATCTATGTGCACTTGTCTTATATATGTGTCTGTGTTTTTTTTACCTACTTAGACTATATAAAATCACCTAACGATTCGCAGACTTACTGATTTTACAATTGATCCAAATAGCACGATCTTAACCGGGACGTCAGGTCCATGCACCATACATTACATACGATTTTCACTGTTTACAAAAGGCTGTACGACTTATAGTCTGCTAATTACTTCTGCATAAAATATAACATTCCTGAAAAATTTTGCACTAGACTTTTTTTTACGTTTAAAACAACCTCGTTATTATTTGGATTACTTTTAACGATATGTACGAAATTTAACTACAATTTAAGTATAACTGGAGTTAAGTGCATTCACAAAATGATCTTACTTAACCTTTATAGATTAAGAATTCTTCAAGTAACTCTTTGTCAGATAACTACTTGTATATTTCAAAGCTGCATCTGTCGATCATTATTTTGAGATATTTTTATAGATAGAAATGAATAAACACGTTGACAGTAAATAACCTAGGCTGTTCGTGAGTAAGTAGATGACCAACAGGCAGGATTCCGTAAGGATAGATCGTGTACAGACCAAATCGCAACTCTACGGATAATTGTGGAACAATCAATTGAATGGAATTCATCACTCTACATCAACTTCATTGACTACGAAAAGGCATTTGATAGCGTGGACAGAACAACACTATGGAAACTTCCTCGACACTACGGCGTGCCTCAGAAGATAGTCAATATCATACGGAACTCATATGATGGATTACACTGCAAAATTGTGCATGGAGGACAGTTGACATAGTCGTTCGAAGTGACGATCGGTGTTAGGCAAGGTTGCTTACTCTCACCCTTTCTCTTTCTCCTGATGATCGACTGGATCATGAAGTCGTCAACATCTGAAGGGAAGCACGAAATACAGTGTACATCTAGGATGCAGTTGGACGATCTAGACTTCGCAGATGATCTGGTCATTCTATCGCAATCGCGACAACAAATGCAGGAGAAGACGAACAGTGTGTAAGCGGCCTCAGCAACAGTAGGTCTCAATATACACAAAGGGAAAAGCAAGATTCTCCAATACAACACAACATGCACCAATCCAATCACAATTGACGGAGAAGATTTGGAAGATGTTAAAACTTTTACACATTTGGGCAGCATCACTGATGAACAGGGTGGATCTGATGCAGATGTGAAGGCGCGGATCGGCAGAACAAGAGCAGCATATTTACAACTGAGGAACATCTGGAACTCAAAGCAACGGTCAACCAACACCAAGGTCAGGATTTTCAGTACAAATGTCAAGACAGTTCTACTGTATGGAACGGAAACTTGGAGAACTACGAAAGCCATCATCCAGAAGATACAGGTGTTTATTAGCAGTTGTCCACGCAAAATACTTCGAATCCGTTGACCGTACACTATTAGCAATAACCAACTGTGGGAAAAAACAAACCAGATCCCAGAAGAGGAAGAAATCAGGAAGAAGTGTTGGAAGTGGATAGGACACGCATTGTGGAAAGCACCCAACTGCGTCATAAGACAAGCCCTCACATGGAATCCTCAAGGCCAAAGGAAAAGAGGAAGACCAAAGAACACATTACGCTGGGAAACGGAGATAGACATGAGAAAAAATGAACAAGAATTGGATGGAACTAGAAAGGAAGGCCGAGGACAGAGTGGGTTGGAGAATGCTGGTCTGCGGCCTATGCTCTATTAGGAGTAACAGGCGTAAGTAAGTTCGTGAGTTTATAAGTTAGAAATACGTAAATATGTCATACCCCCCAACAATTATACCTAAATTTAGCTTCTGTGAGTAACAATATTCTTCAACATTAATTAGCCTACTAAAAAAACACAACCAAATCAATGTATAGATAATGATTTTAAAGGTTATACAAATTAATAGGCCATAGTGTGTAGAAAGTTGATATATTTTCATCCGTAAACTGATAGGTTAATGTAATTGAATGAAAAACCAATTTGATTGTACTAAGATAAATGTGTTTTAGTTTAATAGTTTCTTTGATACATTTTAGACAAACTAATACATACAAATCCTTGGAGAATAAAGTGGGTTCAGCGTGTCTCAATGTTTACGTAAGTGTTTAATTATACCTAATAAGATTATATAATCCTCAAAACGTATTTTTAATCTTCTGATCCTGGTTTTATAACATGATTAATCAAAATAAAACATCAACTTTGAATTACTGTAGTTTTAGAGATAAGAAAATTTTCACTTTGTCTAAGACTTGACATCTGTTGGCAAATGTTTTATTGCTGGTCTGATAGCTTTTAAATCACTTACAAAATCCCTATAGATTAGTCAAAAAGAAAACAAAGCAAAAAAATTTTGGGCGAATTGTTTCCAATAACCTCGACAACAGTCTCTGCAGTTATAAATCCGTAACTGTTGTTATTTTATTAAGGCCAAATTAAAGCATGCTAGTGAATTTTAAAAAAAGTGATGAATCTTTACCTCTGTTACAGCATAAATACCTTGAAATTGTATTATTTGTAAACTTAAAAAAATCAAAAGGCTTCGTTGTTAGGTGTCAAGTTATAATCAATATGATAATGATAAAGCAAATTATGTCAATAAAATGCATAGTGAGCAAATTTCCCCTTGTTAATAGAGATAATGACGTCGTGTGAATATGATAGGTAATAAGTAAGATGCTGTCAAAGTGATTATGATAAGAATTCATGTGAATTGCGAAAGATCAATGTGTAGATTATGAAAGATAGGAACACACAAAAAATTGGGTGTGGGTAAGGGATTTACAATATCCAGTTCAGGTACCTAGTGGTCTAGTCGTAGATCCAGATAAGCACAAAAGTTTAATATACCTCTTCTGGATGCATAAGTTAGACTTTCTGGAGTTGATCCCAGATAGGTCCAGTTATGTAGAAGAGTCTTAATCTATCTAGCTCCTTGAAGTTGTGGACCGCTTTGTGATGTAATTTCTTCTATCCTTCTGTAGAAATTCTCTAGTTTCTATTGTGTACATACATGTTTATTTCAATGTTCAGACAACTTGAAGGATGTCTTCATTGGGTAACCAAGTAATTGTTTGGTTATCCACTCAGGCAATTGCAAACTGTGCTGTATCTATTAACTACGAGCGTTACAGCTTTCTGTCTTCACTTATAGTCAACTACATAACTCATCTATCTATAAATCCAGTTTTACTTGGAGTTGATAAAAATTAATATTTTTTCTCCTCAACAGATCGAAATTTTTTATAGGAAGTAAAAGGGCATATGTTAAATTTCCCAATCAGCTCTACTGTGTTACCATTTTTGCCAACATTTTTATGAACCTATAATAACAGAAAGACTGGATTGAGCAGTCATTTATATTTTCTAAGAATTCCACGGTATTGTAAGACTATAGTTCGAGTAGTTCATTCTTTAAAAAGAAGTCTATTTACATTGTATTTTTTCCGACCTTCAGATTTGGATGTAATTTAAAGAATAAGTGGATATTGTTCTGAATTTTCAAACGTAATAGTTATGCAATGCTATTCGCTATCCATTTTTCCTTGTTATTTATCTAGATGTCTATATCATTCTAGGATATGTATATCAGTATTGCTCCTTATTAGTAAGCTCTATTGAAGATGATAGTTATTTTGGGAATAATTTAGTGTTTAGTTTAGGAAATCTATTTCTTTTGTTCACACATTATCATTTGCTTGTTCCCAATCATTTATGTTGCATACAATTATCATTTTGTCAAATGGAATTCTGAAATCAACTTCATCATATTGCAATATAGACTATTCAAATTACATAATTTATCTTCTACTTACGTATTGAAATGTTTGTTTGTTTGTTTTTCAAAAAAATTCTTCATTCGCACACTCATCTGTTAACATGTGTATATTCTGTTCTATTTACTACTATTGTATTATGCATCTTCAGTAAATGACACTGTATTATTAATCTTATTATCTAAATATCGATCCATATATTATTAACTTATTCGACATTGTTCGATAAATTGATTTGAATTCTATTAAACTATTTTTCACTGTCATTCTAATATTTTGTTTCTTGTTTTCTTTCTTTGTTGAAACAACCCACAAAAATAGTTTGGATCTTTATTTTGTCTCATATTTATTCCATTTGACTTTCGAGTGTTTTAACACTTCATATTGTAGTGAATGAGAACATAAATGGGAACGATCGAATGTATTTGAATACAAAATTATAGAACATTCTAGTATAATCTGAGAACCATATAGTAAATGCCTTATTTGCAAAATGTCAATCAATCGTCTCAGACTTCACTCTTCTTTCACCTCCACAGCAATCATTCTCGGTTCTCGTTCTCTCACATTCGATCTCCTTAACCTTATGATGCCAGGCTTGTCACTTCCGATTGATGATGCATACTACTTATATCTGTCGACATCATTATCACATACCACAAAACTAATAGGCAACTATTCATTAGCCCGTCTAGTGTTCAAAATTAATCAAGTTTACCTTACTTTTTATTTATATTTTCATTCAATTAGTTTGTTATGTTGTTGTTTGTTGAATTATATATATTCACAGAAGGAAAGCATATCTAACCTCCCTTTCTGTTTGCACAGTTTGATTCCTTAAAGCAGTGACCACATGTATTATGACCTAAGTATTTTTCTCTACCCATTAACTTCTGTCCATGCAATCTTGATTATGTAATCAATTACAGTTATTTGCATCATTAATTGTAGTCTCATCTCTCTTTGTACAGCTAAATGTTCTTTATGTCATATCAGTTTCCACTACAATGTATTTTTGTGTGTGATTTTTCTGTCCGTTTACGAAAACATCCACTTCGTTGTAAATTTCAACTGTTTACGACTGATGGGAAACCTTGAAATGAATTATTTATAAGATGGAAACTGGTTAATTTCTTTTAAATGTACCCAGATTATCGTTTAAAACGATAACCGGTATGTATATATTTCACTTTTTAGGGCAAATTGACGCGTTCTAAAACATTATCAAGTGGTACTGAACAAATCAGTAATTCTGAAGTAAGTCATATTTTAATATCTCACATCATCATACTGTTGTCTATCAATCATTCAACTTAGTTATATAATCTTATGCTTGGAGATTTCATTATTGTTATTAATTCATTCCGGTGCTAATATACGAGAACTATGTGTGTTCTCAGTTGTTTTGAAAGTATTCATCTTTCATATCAAATGTAATTACTGTGATATTTCTACATTTCCGGTGATGTTATGATTTTATGATTTGAGTTTTGTCATTATAAAGCAAACTAGTCCATAAAAGCCACCCTTGAAAGTTCACTTTTGTATGGTCAATTATAGTCTAATATTATTTGTAGTTATGTTATCTCTTTTTTTTTAAGTCAGTTATTCATCCGAGTACATATGAGCTAAGAAATATTACGTTTGTGCTGAATATATTTTAATCTACAATATGTTCATCTCCTTACACTTGCCTTCAATCACATATTATCAACACTTATTCACAACATCCTTTAATTTTATCATTTCTCTCTTTCTCTCTCTCTCTCTCTCTCTCTCTCTTGACCTATATCCTATAAAGCATAATATGTATTAAACTATTTTGGATCCATATAATATTATATTGATTTTCTATTCTGTATTATATTTGCCATCATTTTACCTATCACGTTACAGTAATTTGTCTTAGCCTTTATATTATATGGTCATTTGAATACTTCTTAAGTAGTTAAATTATAACTGAAGGGAAATTCACTGTTTTCAATGTATAACACTAAATATTCCATTTAAATGAAGTAATCGGGAAACACTTGTTCTTCTGTTTGGTTACATACTTTCTTACTGGATATGTTCACTTTCTTCGAGTTTAGTCAATCAGTAACATGGTAGAACTTCGTACGTACGTACATCAGTTCGAGTTGCCACACCACATTAGCACAGAGATGCAGTTGTCGATTGAAATCCCGTAGTGGTAGAGGTAGTAAGAGTGTAATCAGTAATCGGAAAGATTAGGGCTTGAAGATGTTATTCAAGGAGTACAATCCAGTGAAATAAATTTAGGAGAACACAAGTAGTGGATGCACCTGCGCCATTGCAAACGATTATGAGCCATGTCATTCAGGGTCTCTAACCATCGGTTGCTATCATCTCGCGGATCGCAACCAGATAGTTTACACCTACCAACATGACTCAGTCCACTTGTCAGTGACTTCATGGACTTGTGCCATGTTTTGGTGTGACCGCCCCTAGCTTTCTTCCGATCTACTCCTATACCACTGAACATAGCACGTCGAGGCAGTCGGTGGTTGAGCATACGTAACAACCACCGACTTCGAATTTAACTTAGATCTTGACCATAAGCTAATGAGTAATCTGACTTCCTTGACACAACTCAACAAAAAGATTTCACATTAAAGTTTTATTTGTTCCATTCTGGAGTTTATAGTTCTCGAGAGTTTTTTCTTCTGAAGCAATTCACTACAAAGAAATATGAATGACTGTGTATATATTAGTTAATGGATTGAAATGTACAAGCACAAATAATTATGATAAATTTAACCATTTGGTTTTAAACGTGTCATAGGTCTTAACGTAGTGTTTTGGTAATTTATTGAACCCTTTTTCATAATACAAGATGTTCACACTGTGTTAGGTAATTGAAAGAAGTCAGCGGGGAACTCTACACCTAGGTCCGTGCTAGTTGACACCCGGGAATTTGGGAGAATTAGTGCTACTTTTGGAGTTCAAACCCACGTTACAATTCAGCTATCAGATCCACTATTGATTTCCTATATGATTAGAGCTTTTAAATTGTTTAGTCACTATTTAGTAACCAACTTATAGCTTCATCAATAGAATTCTGTCATCATTGTGGGTTAGACAAACATAACAGTTGGTTTTCAATGATCGGTTAATATAAACTCATAGCATACCTTTTTTAAAAAGAAGGTATTCGTATACTTTTGTAATCATCCTATGAATTGTTCATTAATTAATTTTTGCTTAACTTTTTATACTCATTTTCTTGTATAAACAGAACACTACTAATACTACTTTTGCAACAGCAGAAATCACAACGAAATCGTGTAATTTAAGGACAAATAATAATAATTCAGTTCCTCAATCAGTATCAGTTATATCATCATTATCAACGTCGTCGTCGTTCAATCCCAATGATTCGAATGGTAATAATTACGATGAGAATAATATCGAAATAAATGAAAATGATTCTATACATTTTGATCAATTACTCAACGACGATATATTATTACATTCAAATAGAATAGATAATAAGAAATAATTATAAACACCATAAATCTTAACTATTTCACAATATCCATTATATATTCAGTTTTGTATTGTTATGTTATTCAACTTAATTTTGTGATAAATGTACATCTTGTTTTTAGGATTAATACAACATATCAATTTTTCTTTTTTTTCGGGGGGGGGGGAGTATTTGTAACGCTAACTGTGATCCCGTTATCGTTTTTCTTCATTCAGTTCTACATACACTAAATTGTTTTTTTTTAATTATCTAAATAGTTTATCTGTATTAATAACGTTTTTGTGTTTATCATATTTATAAATATCAATCATCTTATATTCTTGACATTTTGTGGTATTTGTGCTCTTCTGTTGTCTTATACCAATTAAAAACCAAAGTTATAGGACAGTGGATATTATCATCGACCCATAGTCTCTTTCTCACAATAAGCGTTACCGTACTTCTAATGTAAATACGCGTTTTTTTCGGAGTTTTTTACTGCTCAGTGAATTTTAAGAATTTTTCCGGCTTCTATGACAACTTTTATTGCCATGTTGTGTTTGTGAATCTTCATAGACTGAAGTGGCTAAGGCATGTGTTACGTATATTTACTTACCCTTTACCTCGACGGGTAATGTTTACTTGTATGGAAGTACGTTGAAAATAAGCAAGGTTATCAGTCCATAAAGTCATTGGCTGTTTTTCTGAATCATGTTAATAAATGCAGATTACTTGGTTCTGGTTTTCGCAATAACTGCAGTCAGTGGCTGTAGAGTTTACGTGACATTGATTAGCATGTCGTTTTCACGATTTACCATTCATGTATGTCCTTACACTCTGTCTTTTCGGACTCGGTTCTTAATGCTTAGTCTTTTGTGTTATCAGTGGCACTACATTATTCCAACCATTCTTACTATACATTATGTAAATTATTCGTGCTGATGTAGTATTTCAACTTGCGCCAGTGCTCTATACTGATGTCAGTCAGTAACGACGTAGAAATTCGTACGTCGGTTCGAGGTGCTTTACCACATTAGCACAGAGATGAAGTTGTCGATTGAAATCCCGTAGTGGTAGAGGTAGTAAGAGTGTAAGCAGTAATCGGAAAGATTATGGTTTGAAGATGTTATTCAAGGAGTATAATACGGTGAAATAAATTTGGAAATAGGAAAACGAGAAGGACATGGAAAATTCAGAATATTAGAATTTAGGAGAACACAAATAGTGGATGCACCTGCGCCATTGCAAACGATTATGAGCCATGTCATTCAGGGTCTCTAACCATCAGTTGCTATCATCTCGCGGATCGCAACCAGATAGTCTACACCTACCAACATGACTCAGTCCACTTGTCAGTGACTTCATGGACTTGTGCCATGTTCTGGTCTAGCCACCCCTAGCTTTCTTCTGATCTACTCCTATACCATTGAACATCGCGCGTCGAGGCAGTCGGTGGTTGGGCATACGTAACACATGTCTCAGCCATATCAACTAATGAAGTTTCACTACTTCATCAATTGATTTGTCATCCTTACTTAGTACTCGTTTTCTAACAACTGTGTTACTTACTCGGTGTTCCCAGGATATACGAGCAATGTTTCGAAGACACCTATGATCAAATACTAGTAACTTAGGAATAACCTCTACTCTTACCAGTCATGTTTCACTGCCACAAAGTAGGACGGAACGAACTGCTGCGCAGTAAACCCGTGCTTTGGTTGATAGACGGATATCTCGCCTACACCGTAAATGACGCAAGTTGGCAAAAGCTGATCGAGCCTTCTGTATCCGTGCTGAGATTTCGTCACACACCAGACCACAAGGGCTGATGAGGCTCTTAAGATAAGTGAAGCGGTCGACGCGCTCAATTACTTCACTCCCTATCACTAGTTCGGGTGTCGATGTAACCCAATCCTGAAGCAACATTTTGCATTTCGAGGGGGAGAATCGCATCTCGAACATGCTTGCATTGTTGCTTAGAGTGGTCAGAAGACTCTGCATTTTGTCAGCGTCTTCACCAAATAGGACTATGTTATCGAGATATTCTAAGTCAACAAGTAAATCTCCCGGTAGAAGTTCAACCCCTGGAAATTTGGATGAGGAAAGTGTTATCTCTAAAAGTACGTCAATGACAAAGTTGAACAAGAATGGAGAGAGTGGACAGCCCTGACGAACACCACTTGAGGTAATCAATTCTGATGACAGTTCGCCATAAGCTCTCACTCGACCAGTTGTGTTCGAGTAGAGAGCCTTTATAAGGTTAATGTACTTCTTTGGTACTCCTTTCAGTGACAAACACTGCCATAGAAACTCACGATCAACAGAGTCGAATGCCGCCTTAAGGTCGAGAAATACTACCATTGTGTGGCGTCTGAATGTGTGTCTGTGTTCTAGAACCTGACGTCGTGTGAGCATCTGGTCTATACAACCAAGTCTAGGTCGAAAACCTGCCTGATTTTCTTTTCTTCTCCTCGCGACCTTTGGTTAGGCGTCGAAGTAGTATTGAAGCTGATATTTTAAACACTATATTAGTCGATGAGTTTTCGCGCATCTATCAGTGTGGTAGATGCTGCTGACATCCAGTGTTGCTCCCTAAACCCACGGGTTACCTTACCAGCAGATATCACTGCTGTCTCCACAGCTTTTCGGATATCATTCCATGCTGTCTTGGGGTGGGCATCACATACATGGCTGCCTAACTGTTTTCCTAGTTGTTCCTGAAATATACTCTTAGCTTGACTAACATTAAGTAGGGCCCTAAGAGGTTTCCTTGCAGCGTCTTTCCTACGTCCAGTAAGACGCAGACGGGCATGCGCTCGCACTAGAGGATGATCTGAATCTAAGCATGTGCTCCAGAATGAGCGACAGTCTTCTATCGAGCCCCTTCATCGGTGGCTGATAGCGATGTGATCTATTTGGGTCCAACGTTGGGACGAATTAGGGGGTCGCCATGTTAAAAGATGTTTTTCCTTATGCTTAAAGTTAGTATTTGCAAGGAACAGGCGGTTATCTGAGCATATTTGCAACAGACGGTCGCCATTGTCTTTTTGTTGAGCCACGACACCCTAAGATCCACCTAGGTTTCTTTCCCTATCGCTTAGTTTACCTACTTGAGCATTAAAGTGACCAGCCACTATTACTACATCAGAGCGCCTAGCTTTTCGGAGAAGGTCGGAAAGCTTTCTCTAAAACTCGTCTTTTACATCATCTGAGCTGCAGTCAGTGGGAGAATAGGCAGAGACGACGAAGAGGCAACGACGAGTGTCCCTATCTTTCCGGATCTTTACTGTTCCGTTGAGTCGGACCTTGCACAAACGACTGTCTACTAGGATCCAGTCTAAGAGAGCTAGTTCTGCCCTAGGACTCAATGCTATAACTACGCCGGCGAGGCCACGGGAAGCAGAATCAGGGCTTCCAGATACACGAAGCGTAAATCGAGTCGGTTCTTTATTTTGACATGGTAAGGTCAAATGAATGACGCTACTCGGATCCTGTATGCGCGTTTCGAAGACGCAGCACACATCGATGGCGCGAGATTCTAAATTTTTAGCTAAGGAAGCCTGCTGTCCTATTTGGCAAAGTGTTCGTACGTTAAAAGCTCCTACGTTTGGTTTAGAGCGTGGTTTCAGGAGACCAGGAATGGCGTTCCACGTACTCGAACCGTTTGCCCTAGCGGTGCGAGGTGATAAAGAGACGTGAGGAGGGTTAGTCGGGGAGATAAGAGAGGTATGAGGAGGTGTAGGAAGGATATGAATGTGACAAACTTGGTCTCGTGTGTTGAAACGGGTATGAGGGCTGGTGTCACTTCCTGGCTGCCCACACCCTGGGAGGGTTTTCTTGGGGAACCTGAAAAGGAAATCGGCTTAGTGTTTGTCTTTATTACCTGGGAGCGTGACGGCAGAGCCCAGGGAGCAACTGCTTGAGACCGGTCACTCACGGCTTTTTTGTGGGACCTTTTTTAACCCTTTCCTTCCTTGTGAAAGGCAGCATCGCTGCAGATGCTGTTTTTCTAAGTGAAACACCTTGCAGCGTCACTTTTCACTGCACTAGCAAGCAACTTCGCGTGAATACAGCGACTTATTCACAATTCCTATGTTTGGAATTAAATGGATGTGCGTATGCTGCAACTGAAGTAACTACGAAGGGAGCAGGTGACTGAGATACCTAAACCTACCCCACAGTGATCTGACATTGATGTGGCTAGAGTTATCGGATTCACTATTGTGGTTGAATACCAGCAAGGTGAAGGCGCAGTTTGTATCTTTGAAAGTGTTTAAATGGCTTAATACCGTAGTGAAAAGGTGGATACTTCCGGTTATTGGTGAGAGGTCACGTCAGGCTCTAAGAGCATGTGTTAGTGATCTCGAGCTCGCCTTTAGATCACGTCCCAGTATTATACTCCGAACATACCTAGTTTGCAGTTGACACACGGATAAGCGAAATTTACTGCCTTTAAAAACAACAAAAGGCTCAAGTTCACCAGCACTAAATACTAAGGAATTTGGTTCTAAGTTGACTCGGCTGACAAAACTCTCCAAACGAATCGATTTTGATTCTCACAAAGACATTTTATATTATGCTTCAAGTAGTTTATTTGATTTTCATTTGACTTTTGACTTTCAGCCCTCGGGAAATGATAGGTTTGTTCACCACGCAGTCTTGATCTTCTTGTTACATGGCTACTTCTCAGGGGACAAGAACACAGGCTAGTCGACCAGTCATTCTCAACGTAGAACTTATTACATGTGCACATAGGTTAGAGTTGCTATAGTCTACTAGCAGATTGAGATGAGGTTGTTAGGATGAATCACAGAGTAGTTGAAGTAGTCATGGTGTGGGTGTGGTGCGTGCTACTTATATTGACATGGGTAGTATGTAGCGCGAGTCAGGAGTGTAATGTCTGGCAGCAGAAGATTGGGAAGATCAAGAAAGTGTGAACGGGAATGGAAAGCAACTAGTATAGAGATGCAAGAACAATGAAATCCGAGACGATTATTCGATATTTCGCAAATTAAGTATTATAGTAGGGTTTT